TCTCTAATTGGAAATAATCTTATTAATTTAATAACAGTATATTAATGAAATAAACACTTGTTTTATTAAAATTAAAACAAGAGCACAATATATTCAATTAACCAAGATTATTCTAATTAGACTAATCATTTTTCCCCTGTATAACAGATATACATGTATGTCAGCAATAATAATACTGTGCCGTTTGGAAGATATTTCGAACTGACCCCCGTAATCTCCGTACTGGTCTCCAGGATGGGTGAATATAACGGACGCCGCGGTATATTGTCTTCGGACGCTCAGTATCACGTCGACAAAGACGTTGACGTTGAAGTAAATGTTCCTTGCCGAAGTGTCGAAAAGAACGAAAAGCAACAGAAACGCCGAACAAAGCGACAATTTCATTTTTTTTGTTCACCGTTGGAGGATCAATCGAGGGAAGTTTACAGCGCGATAGACCGGGCAGATCAACTAAACGGGTAAAACTTCCGCTTAGCAGGACAAATGTCTCCCGGTTGCAGTAATACGCGGGGTAAATGCAGGGACGTAGATACATATCAAGCGTTTCAGATAACATAATCGCGGTGATTCTGCGACGTGGAAATTGCGACCGATCAAACGGGCTTATATTAATTGGCTTTAATCGCTCTCCTTCCTTGCGCTGTCGGTATAAATTAAGAATCAACGATATCTTCTTAATATTCATGTTGAATAATAAAATGCGAGATCTGGAAGTATACGCAGTTAATTAAGCGCGAGGTCTTCTCCGGCTGTTAACATTACAGTTTACAATAAATAAAATTTTTATTAAGTATTCTAAAAGTAATTAAACATTCCATTTATCTCAAATAATAAACATGTTCAGAGATATTGATTAATTGCTAAGCGCGATTAATTCTTAGATTACATTTGCACCGATGTGAATCATTGATCGTATGACGATACGAAAGCGAATGGTAAGTGCGATGCGAAATTTCTACTACGCAAAAAAAATCGTTGACTTTACGCCCATCACGAATTTAAAAATATCGACGTTCGTGTCCGACCCTGAGCACGTTCATACGGAAAGTGCACATTAAAATTTATAATGCAACATTAGGTGTATATTCCGCGAGCGTACACACCGACCGATATCAACACCATTAGAAAATTGCGATTTGAAACGATCGACAGATCGCATTTTAAACATGCACTTGTCAGACTATACATTGTGAAGTGCCGGTTGATGGACAGCATAATTTATTTTCCTTCATTTCTCTTGAAAATCGCAAAATCATTTTTTTCAACTTAAATCGGATATTTTACATATTATATTTTATTGTGTATTTTTTTTTTTTTTTTTATTACATATTATATTATTATATGTCTAATCCAATTTATTTCGACAAAATGACATTGCGGTATTCAGTAAAAATCAAAGAAATATGTGTATATATTATATATTATTATATTACATATATGTATGTATAAATAATATGTAACGATACATGAAATGCATAGAACTATTGTCCAAATTTTAAAAAATAAATTTAAAAAAAACAAATTAGATAATTGAACGAATCACAGCAGCAGCCTCATTGTTGCGGATTGCGAGCAATAGTTATCTTCAAGCTATAATCGATTATAAAAACGTTCAAGAAAAATACAGAGAGCGATATGTCAAGCTGATAATGTATTTTATATATACATATATGTCATATATGTTTGTGCTATTGCTTTCTGGACAGCTCTGGATTACTTTCACAGTTTAATGTAATTCATCGATCGATCCGCGGCCGGAGAGAGCTCTAGGCGATCATTAAATTCGCCAAGTAATCATCATGGTGCCAAAAATGATTCAGCATGATGACTGCCGTGCGAATAATCGGCCTTGTTGATTTCACAACATTGTAGACTTGCTAATTTATATTAGTTTTATTTATACTAAATTTTTTAGTTTTATTTATACTTTGAAAAACATATGATACATATACACCTGGATCCCTCTTTTTCTTATACTCATGTCACACGTAGCAGTGCGCAGTTACTACGTGTGAAAAAAAAACAACAGATTAACGTCTTTCTTTACTTCTGTGAAAAACGAAATATTAAAATTCCAACTGTGGTCAGATGGACTCGAACCCGAGTCCTCGCAGTCATACGATTGTGACACCTTTGCCATTAGACCACACTGCGCCCTAAAAAAATAAAAGAAAAAATACACCACCCGATCATGTTAGCAGAACATTAAAACAATATAATGCGATTATATTGTTGTGTCAAGCTGATAATGTATTTGACAAATGCCCGATAAAAGCCCCAACACGTAAAAAGAAGAGATGTATTGTCCGATCACATGTTATAGCGGACACTCTACAAGTCTAAGACAATGCGATTATATCCGCTATGACATGTGAGCGGATAATACATCCTTTCTTTTTACGTGTTGGGGCACTTCGGGCATTTGTGACTTTCGTGTTCGAAATTTTTTCTCCAAATATAAAGAAATCGAATAAAAACCAATAACTCTTGGTCGGATTTGAACCCGGATCTGCGGCTCACTAGCCCAACGCACATTTCTTTGCGCCACAATCGTCACACAGTGGTGGTATATGAGCGATGTTAATGCAAAAAAATAGTGACTGTTAATATCGTCATTCAATCAGAGAGAATTAATATCGTTACTTTTATTGACATCGGCATTTTTTAATATTTCCTGTTTCAGAGTCACAAAGCTGCCTTCTCCGATAATTCTAATTTATAAATCAATTAGTACTAGCCACAAACGTATTTATATTACCTCGACTAAAATTAATCGTTTAATCGCAATTGCATTTTTTCAGATTCTTCTGTCAATAACTATATTTTATTGTTATTTTACGCACCGCTTATGTGCCATACTAAAAAAATGCAATTATTTCCAAGTTCTCGTCGACGACGCAACGTCCACGCGTAGCAGCACTGACGAGGTTTTCAGTCGTAGCACGTTTATATTTATAATAATTACGCGAAATAACGCGATTGTCCTCGACTTATCGCCACCTATAGTCCTGGCATCTCTGCCTACACCTTGCCGCGCCATTCTTGCGGCAACGCTCGAGCGAAGAGGTAGCAGCGCGAGTCACACACATTCATGTGTGCTGCCGCAATTAAGTATAGCGGCAATTAAGCATCTGATAAAATACTCAATTAATATATGTTTTATGATATTATAAATATTTCGTACCAGCGACGAACGTGCTTATTTTCGGGATACAAAGCTGTCGTATGGTTCCTCGCCGGCGATAAACCCCCAAACGGGGTGCGACTTCGATGCAGTGATGTGCTCCAGCAGTTTGAAGACCGAAAGTAAAAATCGAGAGACGTGGAAAGCAACTGTATGTTAACACAGCAATGCCACGTTCAAAGAAACGTGACTTTAAATCGCCGACAATCGTCTAAGCGGTTCGTCGCGTCGCATTTTTGGGAACGCAAAGTATCGTGTGATTATAACAATTATGACATAATTATTAGCGTTCTCCTAACTTAAATTTGGGAATGCCGTACAATAAGTTTTGCACCAAATTGTGTCTTCCCGTCACGATGTATTTACGGACAATAATTGTCTTGTAACAGCGACGCTTTACTTACGTGCGTTTGGTGCTCATTTTTTGTGTACCGAAAAATACATAGCTTTTTCCCGTGATAATCCTCTCCCATTGGATACGACCTTGCAGATGGTGGAGGGGCTCAGTACCCCGAAGGGTTCAGGATACGTATTACGGAACGTCTCAAAATGGATTTCGATTAGAATTTAATTATTTTCTAGACTTCTATTGTATTATTTAGGGAAAACTGTCATTTTGACAGTGAATCAACGACGACTGCCATTTATGTTCCATAAGCAAAACGCGAAGTAAATTAAATATATATTTTAAAAGGAGATTTTCTTCTTTCTTTCTTATTTTTATTATATACATCATATGTTCCTCCATTAATAATAGTATATATCAGTATTATATTAATGATAATAATACTTTACAGTGGTGTAAATACGAATAGAACGATTATTCAATTATCAACTGAAAAAGTTCAGTTTACAATCGGTTTTCTTATTTCTACTGTAATGATTAATGTGTGTGTGTGTGTGTGTGGTTACGAATATATATATTTCAGTTTTATTCTTTAATATTTAGTTTCTTTTAAAAAACTACATGATTGTAGGTGCTGAGGATCCTGCCATTTCACATGTGCGAATAATCCACCTCACAATATGACAGCTGATCACGACGTTAAAGTTCGTGTGACAACACAGTTGAAACTGTGGTAAGAATTCGATTAAACTACGGCTGTGTTCCAAAATTCACTGCCAACGCTAACGTGTACTGTAGATTTCCAGCACTTGCCGGTGAATCTTGGAATATTGCTTTTACCATTTTTTGCCAATTACATTTCTATCACTAGTTTATCGGCTTATCCCTTAACCCTTTCGGTACGGGGCGACCGAGACGCGAACGGGCCTTCAGTGCAGTGGACGGAGCGTCGATTCGCCGACATACGCGATTCGACCGAGAGAGCTATTATAGGCACTCGATGTTCAACGCCTTCAATTATTATATGTAACAAAACTCAATAACAAAAACAACTTAAAAACTTTATCAACAGAAGCATTTCAAATTAACATTTCAAGTTGCTCGGCCGCAGTAAACAGCTTTGTGGACAGTGACTATAGTCCCCGCTCAGGCGCAGTGAGCAGTACGTATAATAATAGACTGCGGTGACTATAGTCATTCTCCGTACCGAAAGGGTTAATGCGATATCTAAATGTAAGGAAACTATAAGGATCACATACGTTGTCCTCACTTGGTCTGTATCAGGTAACCTTTTCAGCACCTTACACGATTAAAATCCTCATGTCTTGATCATGCGCTGCGTTATTTTCGGATCAGGGCCATATTTAGATTACCTGACTCGGTCCTGACCAAAAAATCAGGCATTTTTGTTTGGATCTGATTATTGCCTTGCGGCTTGCCAGGATTTCTTCTCGGATTGTTGTTCTTAGATCAAGTTTTAGACGAATAATACACTTTCTCGATTATTAAGATAAAAAGTGCCAGAACCATACTGCCCGCCACCATTGCCAGAGCTGGCGTTACATCGTTTAATTCGACCCAACCGTAAAGTTCCTCCCTCGGATTATCTCGTATAACATATTTGTTCTTCAATTTGCTTATAACGCCATTAACCTGAAATCTCCGCAAGCTGAAAAATGTGAAAAGATATTTAGAGTATTTATTCTTGAAGAGAGAAAAGCAGTCGTAAAAGTAGTTCTATCTGAATATAATACATTTCTTGTAATTTTGTGATTTCAACGACATTAAAATTTAACGATATTCTTGCATCCTTGGATAAATATTTATAAGATCAAATATATGAAATTTATACCTTAAAAGTTATTAAAAATTATATTTTCAAGAATTAATGATATTAATAAAATTCATCGATTTATTATGTGCATCAACAAACACTCAACTTATAAACATCAGACAATTACGTAGTACAATAAAAGATGACAGTTTTCTAAACAATTAATAAATGTATATTAAATAATAAAATATATCTTTGTAAATAAATATATACATTTGGACTTACTGGTAATTCATGAGGCCAGTGTAAGGATTTCCTTTCGTTAGAGCTATCGCCGCATTGACGATTCTTCCGGTCTCAATATATACGACTCTACACGGTATAATTTTAAACTCTTTAAATATCTCCGTCGTGTAAAGCGCTAACTTGTTTCTCTCGCAGAGCTGCGTAAGAATTGATATGAAAATGGACAACTTAATGAAACTTAACGTCGTTGATTTCATTAATTAACTAATAACGCTAACTTGCTTGAATCCCTCCATCGTTGATAGCGGTAATAAATGCTTTTCTTCCAGCAGTTCGTACATTTGCAAGAAAACGGGATCCTTGAGATGCTACAAAATTTGAGAAAGCATAATTTGAAGAAAAATATTTTTTTCCCAGTTGTAGTCGGAATAAAATGTCTCTTCCTTAGAATTTTCGCCAGTAATGTTTACATTATAAGAATACAAAAAAAGCTTCCTCTATGAGGAAGCAAAAGAATTTAAGAACAATATAAATTAAATTCTCTAACGTTTAAAATTACCTCTACAAGAAAATTACTAAATTATTAATATTTATTGTGTATGTCATGTAATAACTAATACAATCACGAGACTGGGCTTTTATTTGCGAGTGTTTCAATCGAAATTACTGTGACTGACAAATTACTGTTGCGCAAGAATAATTTCCGCGCTTTAAATAATGGCGAGCTCACACTAAGATAGTCGTACTCGGCGCTATTTTGCAACACAATTAATTTGTAAGAGCCATCTTTAACGTAACCCTCCAGAGTGGAAAAAGGCAGTTTGGGCGTACAGAGCACTAGAATGCTGATATATGAGGCGGAATAGATGGCCAAAATTACTATCGACGAAGCAAAAATCGAGAGAAAAGCCAGTCTCATCGATGACTCGCTGGGAAATTCTTTGCATAAAATATAAATGTGCATTATTATTATGGTGTCAAATTTACATATATATGTAAAGGAAAGTCCCCTATTAAGAGACACCACATATATTTTGCGTGATTGACGGAAGTTTATGAGCAGAATTGAAAAATATAGAAAGCGAGTGTACGCACGATCAAATAATAAATTTTCCACTAAACAGGTTTTACTTTAAGGGCAATAAGTTCGTGATGAAACCAACAAATAGAACCTATTAGTTTAATAGAAACTCCTCGCTATCGCTTATTAAAAGCCTATCTCATAATAGGGGACTTTCCTCTATATACAATACATGGCATATATTGACTTATTAGCATATATTGACACATATCAATGCATCACACACAATTGCTTAAAACGTGACTAATAACTCGAAAATATTATGCCAGACAAATATTGAATGTTTCTAGTAAACGTTACCTGACAAACCTTGCTGGCAATAAATCCCCCAAACATTAATATAGTTTTCGAACATCAAGTTCATCGAAAAGTATCCTTTTGTCTTCATGATAGTCAATAGAATAGAAGCTGTTATTATTATCATTAATAAAGCTATCCAAGTTATAGAGCTGAATGCCTGGAACATTTATCGGTGAAGAAAAGCAGCAATTTATTCCACTTTGTTACCGTGAAGCTTTAGCATAAATTATCTTAACACAATTTTGTGTTCAATGTTAACACTTTTCCCAGAGATGTAATTAAACAATCTTAAGTAATTGCATTTTTAATTTTATGAATGAACAGAATGATTATAAAGTCTTTGTGCAGTTTTAAACTTCTATCATTGTACAATTAGAGGGGTAAAAATTACAGTGGTGTAAGTCAAATATTTTGAAAAATTTGACTTACACCACTGTAATTTTTAGCCCTTTAATTGTAGCCAATATAATTACCATAGGCATATGTAATATATTAAATGATGCATGTCTACTATTAATACACCTAATACTAATTTATCAGGTACTGTTGATATAAAGATAATTATTACCCTTAAGTATAAAGACCATTCCACCAAGGCTGTGTTAGGCTCCTTAAAATAAAGACTGTATCGCGAGCGTATCAATGGTATTGTATAGTCGATGACGTTTTGTCTGTCAGTCGTCATCACAAATCCGGAGATGCCGATATCGGCTTCGTTGGCCACCAACTGGCCGATCGCACCTGTCCACACCTTTTTCTCTTTGCTCCAGCTGCCGTATCCCTGCACCGGATCCAGAATCTCCACCGTAAAGTTCATCACTTTGCTGAGCTCTATCAGCAACAGACCGAAAAACCCGCCGACCGTACCGTTCTCCTGCGAGGTCCACGGCGAGTTCTTCGTGGATAAATCAACAGAATTGTCAAAGTCAATTTACTCGAGTCTACATAGGAGTCTACATACGCGAGATCTATAAATCATCGTTAAGGGTTAATCGTAATAATCGTTCAGATCGTTCTAATATCGATTTCGTGACAAATTTCGAGATAATTTTCTTTCAAAGCGATTATTTTCTAGAAGGTCGTCGCTCACGACCATTTTCCGATTCGCAAAAGAAGCAACGCACAACGGAGGTCGAGGAAGAGCGAAAAACTTACGTTTACAGACGCCACGCGTACAACGTCGCCGAACATGTCGCTTCTTCTAGCGTAGAGGGACTTTCGCGTCCTTAAAAGTAAACCTCTATCGGGGGACCACAAGGCCAGGTCATACGTTCTGGTGCGATTATCGCGAATGGCGTACCACTCGACTAGAATCGGGCGAGCATAGCAGAGAACCAGCATCTGGGTGCTGAAGTCCACGTTGAATACGTTATCGGTAGGATGTCTGCAGTGTTCCTCGAGAGGATTTCCAGGACGCTGAAGAAACATAACGAGCCAAAAGGAAAAAGAGATGGGCTTTATGCTCCTCGTGGTCTCGGCGAACTCGACCATGGTCTCCTCGGTGTCGAGGAGAACGACAAACAACGGCCGCGTGACATTTTTCCCGTACTTGTTGTACTCACTTGTCAGATCCGAGAAAGTTATGGTCACGGTCATGACTTGGTGCCGTGAGAATTCGCGCGACCACGTATGCACCAATGTCGTCATGTTCAAATCTGTAATATTCGCATCGAAGATAGTATTATATTTTACTTGTTGTTAGAATTATAAATGCTCTCTAAATCATAACTTCATTTAATTTCGGTAAGACCTCCGATTAGCCCCTATTTCCAAATTAACTGAAACTTGCAGCAATTGTAAAGCATTAAAGGACACACTCACACTATAAAGGATTTTGTACAGAAACAAATAGGAACGGTGAAATTAAAAATATACAAATGGTAAATTGTATGATTACCTATTGGGTAATTGTTTACATGGAGGGGGTCACATTGGATGACCTTGATATTTTAGTATTATATGTTGTCAAGGTCACCCTCCTAAGTGACCTTCGGAAGGTTTCAGCCCGCGCTCGTTATTTATTCAGAAGTTATTAACAAAACAAGTTTGAGAAATATAACAGTTATGTTGAGTATTAAAAGGCATAAATGACTAATACATATGTCAAAATAGTATGTACATACATGAACAAAGAAAATACGATGCAATACAATACAAATGAATAATTTGTATATTGCCACAAATATTCACACAGATGATCGACTAACTCATCTTGTTTAATACCACCTCTACTTATATAAACGAGCTCGTAAAACACACCATAAACCCATGTGACAAGTCGTCTCGCGTGAAAAGTGTATGCGTGGAGGCAGTAGATTCCACTCCCTGCGGGGGGCTCCACTATTGTTAAACTAGACACATAGTGTGCCTTCAAAGTACATGCGTGCTCTTTCCACTGCTTTAAAATTTCCATTCACTGCTTTAAAAGACTTTCCTTTGTTCATACATGTACACTCTACCGGCAGAAATCCCTGGACATAATATACATATACATATACATATACATATACATATACATATATGTCATATACATATCAAAATGTCCAAGCATTCCTGCCGATCAGAATACTATTTCCACAACTTTCATCAAAATTCAACCACTAGATTGTCTATAAATTAAAATCAAATTTTTAAATTTTTTATGCCAATTTCTCCGTTCCTATTTGTTTCCGTACAAAATTTTTTATGATATGAACGTGTCCTCTAATGGTCAACAATTGCTGCAAGTTTCATAAAATTCGGAAGTAGGGGCTATTCAGAAGTTGAGCCTTAATTCCTTCAAGGATAAAAGTTAAAAAAAAGTGACTTAATTTTTTCTTATTTAATTACATTTTATTCAATTTAAATCCGTAACAATTATAGATAAAAAAGAAAATAATTTTTTGAAAAACTAAAAATATGTTTAAATAAATAATACCGTATAGAAATAATTTGCACGTGAAATGATGATTCAATATTTGTTCGAAAGTTCGCGAAAGTGCAGTGTGAAAAATGATAATCGGAAACTGTTCCCGGTATCTAAGTATACTCACCGTAATTGTCAGGCCGCACGAAAATAACACACGACGTACGATAATATTTGTGGACGTCGTTGATCAG